ATCTAATAACTGGGACCACCACATTCGTACTGAAATATTAATTACCTGTTACACAATAGCACAACTAGTTTTATTGCATTCGAGAAGCCAAAACCAATTATCTGTGAAAGCACTGTAGTTGCTTGTGATATTGAACTATTGTGCATCCTATTCGGTTTTCAACCCTAATAGTTACTCTTTTTGTTCGTAGGACTTTCAGTCGCTGTCTTGGAATGTGTCAACCTCGGTAACATTTGCCAACATAAGCGAATTTCTTTTGAAATCCACATCGACTGTGTTCTGTTTCTGTGCAGTTTCTTGGTAGGTCTCCAGTCCAAGTTGTCTAGTATCGATGGCAGCTTTACCTTAGTCTAGCATGGATGGGATCGCTAGACTGTTTTTTAAATTCCTTTTGTGTTGTCTAGTTGTTCGCAACTGCACTCTCTTCTTTCAGCGGATTTCGAGAAGACGAACTTTCGCTTGGAATATGCTGGGATGTGTACCAATGAGTACCTTTGGTTATTATATTAATATATATATATATATATATATATATATATATATATATATATATATATATATATATATATATATATATATATATATATATATATATATATATATATATATATATATATATATATATATATATATATATATATATATATATATATATATATATATATATATATATATATATATATATATATATATATATATATATATATAAGTTGTAATGTAACATGTTGAACAAACACCAGGGGAAATTTTCAATGACGCTATTTCCAAAACGTGACTATTACAAGCTGGCCAATGACATATCAAATAAAGGTTGGTTTACAATAAAGACATGCACATTAGGTTTCACACATTCAAAACAAAGTATGTAGGTATACCATTATGTTTTTCTTAGCATCAAAGTCATACTCGGTTCTTAGGACTTCCTTGTGGTTCAAGCAACAAGAAAGCTTCAAGGAACGACTAAAAAATAAAAATTAAAAAATAATTAATGATTATAATAAAAATACGGCTACAAAAATTGCTAAAAAGAAACATTATTTAAAATAAACATTATTTTTTAAAATAAGTTAAAAGTTCAAACAACCCTCCATTAAAAGTTAAACAATATCACATTGCTTAGATTTTATTGTAAAATTCATTTTTCCAGTGACCCCACAGACCTGGATGGCCAAAGGATTCGGCGCCTTGGGCCAATAATATTCCCATTAAAAGCATTTCCCTACCATACGTTAACCAGATCTCCTGACGTACGCGAACAACTTCTTCTAGTGCGCGTTCTATTTGATTTTGTAATAAGTCCAAATAGGTTTCTGTCGTGAGGTTAGATTTCATAAGAAATGGGCCAATAATATTCCAAATTCCCACCATAGCACTTATTTTTTGATTATATTGGCTTCGAGTATTAACAAAACGATATTCAGTGTCTTAGCTCCAATACCATAGTTTTCAAGATTTAGTTCGTTGAGTGTGAGTGTACATTAATCAGGAAAACAAATATTTTTTTAAAAATCCCTCCCATTATAAAATATTTGTGTTTTTCTAATTTGCGCAACACTGTGGTTTGATGTTTATTTACAGCTTGTCCAAGAATCGTCGTACTATAATGTTCAAATTCTATTACGGTACCTTTGGACTCGAATTAGGTAATAATACGTTTATTTGTTGAAATCGAAGGTATGTCTTAGCAGGAAAATAAACTGAAAACATTTCAGACACTGCCCTTAATTATGGTTACTTGTTCTTCAATTGGATAACGCATATTTAGCTTTAAATAAAGCGCATTTAATGACCTATAACACAAATAAAAATATTGTTACTGTCACGAATTTTCGTGTTGTCATTGTCAAAATGTATTTTACTGGTGTTTGATTTATTACCTAAACTATAAAAATTTTCGGTTTTTGCCATCATATTTAATTCAATAAATGAAGATTGGCTTATAAAAATTTATTAAAATTCAGCATATGGGTAAATCATAAAATTAATCAAAAAGTTATAGTACAACTTTCTATACTATTCCTCCTGCGTGGGTTCTTGCTGAGTCGAACTCGCTAGTGTTTATGCTCAAAGAACATGAAAGAACCTTAAGTCTAAAACAAATAAACTTATCAGCAGTTTTAGAACAAAATCACGAAATCAGACATTTTATTCGATAAAACTAAAATTCTTGAATATAATCAATTCTTCTACCAACGAAAAATCTGAAAGTCTATAGAAATCTATAAACAACCTAACAATCTTAACCGAGACTCAGGCCTGTCACCAATATGGGAATCAGTCATCCGAGATGGTGTTTATGTCCCTCATTTAGCTCCGCTCCCCTCAATAGTATATAATATATAAGCAGGTACTTAGCTCTGAAGAAGCCAACAGAATGATTGTCAAACGTTAGCAAGTTGCACTCAGCAAAAACCGATGCACGAGGAATCCTTTTTTGTAAAAAGTAAAGCATAGTTTAGTATTTTGCGGAGAGGCGAAAGAGTGCGGTGAAGATTATATTAAAGAACTTCAAAAAGGAGACAAGTGCTGAGGCGAGATGAGGGTTTGTCACGAACGAAACTTATTCAATGTCTGAACTAAATTTAATAAGTGTTTGACGTGATAGAAAGATAAAAAAATACAACACAACTGATACTTTTGATGAAAAGTACCAAATTACAATTAAAAGTTAATAAATAGTTATTTGCGAAACTAGTGCAACATGTAAGAGAAAAAAACAAAATACAAGATGTGTAATAAAATTCATTCAAACCGATTAAAACAGCATCCCGATGATATTGTTACACCCGAAATGGTATTTGTAATTGTGATTTTTTTTATGCGAGCTTCTTATTGCTTCTCTTGTTGATGTTGCTGTGTTTTGTTGATAGGAAGCACTTGACGACGCGTCGACCTTGTGACGAAATTCCGCCGCTCTGTCTGCAATCGTGAATTGCCAGCAAACCAACATTTTGTTTCTAAAAGGTTGATATAATGTTTGTTTACAGATCAAGTCTCCTATATTTGACTCCCTAATTTCTATAATTATCTCGGAACCTGTAAAAAGTATCAAAACAACATGAAGGCAAAAGTAGTTTGAATTTACTTGTACTTTTGAACATTTATTTATGTATAGGATGTCCGAAATAATATTTCCTAACCCCTAACTCAGGAACTACGGACAACAGACACAAAAAATTAAACATAATTTCATATAAATTTGTTTAGTTCTAAATTTTTCTTATATTCCGTTCATCTTTCTTATTTTAAATGGATGGGTATGTTTTTATTCCAATTTTGAATTGCTCTTAAAATTCTAAGTTTTGTCATTTAATATGTCCTGTACCCAAATTCAACTCTTTTCCTAGGAATGACAAAAAATAATTGATGATGATTTAATCATTAAACTAGAATTTGATCTATGAACAATAATTGAATGATTTTAAATAACTGGTAAACTTAAATAACAAAAAAAAACAAAGAAAACAGATACTTATGTTTATAAATTATCAAACTGATATTCTTCTACTTGACAATATCCTAAGGGGTCTGTAAATTCCTGTAGGGTGTTTTGGAGAGCAGTCGATGTTATAGCTCGAACCTTATCTGCTCTTCTAAGTCAGTCAAGATGTTTTTTTTTGTACACTTTTATTTAAGTTTGATTATATTTTCAAATCTATTACTTTTTCAAGTAGGCAACCTTATACAAAGTCATTTCTTTTTAAAAAGCTAAATACTAAACTAAATTTCACCCATTAACCTAACCTTTGCACCACTTCCTTTTTAAATAGGGATATCCACGCACTGAATTCATTTTTGCAAGAAGATTTAACGGGGTCTGGATATATTTTGATAAAATACTGCAGCATGTTTACTTTCTATAAGGAAATCAACCCTATTAAAAAAATCACTTTTGCCTTTTGCTTGCAAAATGAGAGGAAAACGTCTAAATCGATAACTCTTTTGGGGTTACTTCGAATATATCTAAACTTATAAAATATAGCTTTGAATTAATCGCAATTTTTAAAAAATGTCCCCTCTACACGCGAAACACCCATTATTAGTAAATTACTAGAAAATAATTTCATGTTATTGACCATATTTATAAAAATGTTCGACCGACAGCATCTTTAAGGCTTATTATTGCAGTGGAAAAACTAAAGTCACTAGATTGAAATGCGAGGTAGGTAATTAGAGTTGCGCATTTTCAACTTTGTTCCAGTAATCTATTTAATTGGCTTAAATCAGAAAATACATCCTTTTTAATTGCTAATTGGGGTACTGGTGAAGGTTGAACTTATTAAATGAAGCGTGTGGCAAATATTCATTGTGGAATTTATTTTTGAGGATGATTATTGCCGCATTTCTTAATAATAAACAGATATGCACTATTTTGCACTATATGCACTATGTGCACTTACAATTTCCATATCTTAAAACTTTAATGGAAGACTTATACAATCATTTTTCCAAAATAGTGTTAACTAGGGGAGATATAGTTCTTTGCCGCACTAATGCGCCACCCTGTGTGTTTGCTACTGTATTAGTTAGTTAGTAATTAATTTGTTACGGTATACAGCATACAGTATACAGTCATGAGCGCACTATTTATAATGACAATGTGTCGTTTCTATTTTGAGAAGACCCCGTACCGAAGTGAAAACAATTTGCCTTGTAACTTGGTTCGCAGCAACTCTACGCAAATTACTCATTAAATCGTCACATTTTTACCTCAGGTGGCGCATGATAAAGAAATGCCGTTAGCATTGAAAGCAACCTTTGGCCTCGAATTGGTATTTTGCGACATAAATAATGAGGCGACATTTAAGTTGTTTGTAAACAAAAAAAACGGGCTTCGGGATAACGTATATGGGTCACACAAACCCGTTTCTATTTATAAATTTACAAAAGATAAAACAAAATTATTTTAGAATGTCGAAGTCGGCTGTATTGATCAATCTCGAAGAATTTCAAATTTCCCATCTTTAACAGTACAAAACAAAACCAACCAATAATCTTACCTTGATACTTCAGCATGAGGTCGTCGTACATTCGGATTAGTGTGGTCATTGTCGCGGTTTATCTGAAACAAAATTTGTTGATTGTTGGTGGTTGGTCCGTTATTTAAAAACAACTCATTCATTAACTACAATCACTAATAATCAATAAATAATTAATTTGAAAATTTTGAATGTAGAATAATTACTCTGGTAAACTAGTAAACTACTAGTAAACTGTAGACTGGTAAATAAGTTAACCAAAGATATTGCTGCGGGATACGGACCTAGGGGTGCTCCAAACCAAAGCAATATCATTTTGGGATCTGTGACTATGGAAGAGGTGTTGAGGATAATATTTGAGGGTTCGAAAAAGAATGCTGCTGCAAAAGATGGTGGTATTATCACTTGGTTGATCTTATGCTATAGTTAAGTCAATTATTACAGTGTGGTTGCGTTGCTTCCTGTTTTTTAAAGGTTTTTCAGAAAGTATTTCATATAAGACTTCTTGACGAGTTTCTTCAAGATTCAATAAGACTTTCGTAGGGAAAGGTCTACACTGAGGACGCAATACTAGGTACAGTTAACTATTTGGTCAGATTGTTAATTACAGTCGTGCTTTCGATTTGGTGACTCGTGACCATCTTATGAGAAAGTTTAATCATTATAGATTTGAAGATCCTTCCTTCGGTCCTTGGCTTAGTTCTTACCTCGGTGGAAGGCTACAGAGGGTGAAGCTGAATTTGGAAAACGATGAATGCTACTCACACATGCTCACCGTAAGTTCTGTGGCAGAGAATAATCCAGCTAGCATCCTAACACCAGTGGGCTTAGTGTGATTGTGAAGGAGTACATTCACTCTACAAACCGTTACAATATTGCTAATAATTTTACTCTAAATTTGTCAAAGACTAAGCGTGTGATTATTTGCCATTCGTCCCACTGACATACCATTATGGTGCGTCCTGAGGGGAGCAAACTGCCTGATTGGGTAAAATTTGCATTTGAACTCTCAATCTTGATCGATCTTGGTATCCTAACAGTTGCTATTTGGTTTGCTAAAGCCTGTGTTGTGTTTTAAGAACATTCAAATATGTTTTGATGTTGGTGTCAGGGATCATGATTATCGTGCAACAAAAGCTCTTATGTGCCTATTATAGTTTTTAACCACCTTACTAGTCACGTGAAGGCAGTTAAGAGGTTTCTTTAAAAAAATTCAAATACCTATTGCTTAATTCCAGTTTTTATTCCTTAAAATATTTTTTTCATTATGATGTACCTATATTGTTTTGTCCTTGTTGACTTTTTTCCTTTCATATTTTATGAAATTTAAATTTTCTTTAAGGCTTTTTAGGATGATGGTTTAGTGATTTGTGGCGAACCAAATTATTCGGCACATTTGCTTCCGATATTGAAGCAAAAGTCGCTCCTTTATTAAACAAAACATTTTTTTTAAAACGTCGGGTCTGCAATTAGCAGGTTACGATATAAAACGGCGAATTCAAGTCTGCTCGGAAGGTCAACGGGTAATAAATTCTGAAGGAGCTTGAAATGGTATTGCCGAACTTTTCCTTCTTGGAATATTCGCCGAAACATTTATTTAGATGTCCAACCACTCCATCTCAAAATAGCTTGAAGTTAATCATAAAATACGTCATAACTGTTGTCGGTGTCAAATTTAGAGTACAGGATGATATCAGCGGTACTTTAACAGTTGGTAGTTCTTTTGATCAAATCTTAGATTTGTTGGATTGTTGGGTCCAATCAAAAAATCAAATCAAAAAGTTAAACAATCACAAATAGCAATAGCAATAGAATTTTTTTTAACAACTAAAACTGTATTATAGACAAAAAATATTTGAACATAAAACTTCTTAAAAAATTGCATGATAAATACTAGACAATTCAATTATCAGAATATATCAATATGGCTTACTACCAAAACTCTTTTCTTTCGTTTCTGAGTCTTTTAACTCTATAACGGTCCAAAATAGGTGTGTTATTCCATTTGATGAAGAATGAACTATTCTTAATGTGTATAATTTTGCAAACACCCTGTAACCGATATTGTAAATGTCATGCTGTAATATAACATATCAACCTATTGAAAAACTGTCAACAAAATTTTATCTAAAGTAGTAGTTCCCCAAGTTTTTCAAAAAAATATTTTTAGCTCCCAAATAGTGCAAGATAGCTTCAATTTATGTTGCATAGAAAGTTTCGGAGTTTTTCATAGAATCCAAAGATGTAATAATACATAAAATATTTTGAAAATTGATATCATAGCCTACTATGGTCGCAGCCCAATTTTTAAATGCCTACCTTTTTCTATTTCTATTTCTATTCTGTATTTATAGCATAGTATAGTATTTGAAGTGATGTCGCAAAATGACTTCCAGCGGCGGTACAGGCAACCTAAATAAATCCTCTCGGGCAGCGTTGATGGCGTAAGAAGAACGCTTTGCAACAATTAAAAACCTATATACTGGTAGATCTTTATAAATGCCGTAACAAAGGTAAAGATTTACATCAGCTCAGATCATCATCAGCTGTCTGCAACAGTTAAACTAAAATTGCAAAGAGAAATGTACTAAACGAGGAGGAGGTACGGAAAAAGGTGCAGAACCTTTTGAAAAATAAAATAGCTTCAACAAAATGATTGACGAGACGTCAGCAAATCCAGGAGTTTTGTAAATAGTAAATCAAAAACCAACCAACAAAAGAATAAATTGAAAGACAAATGATATATTGGACATGATGGATGATATGTTGTAAAATACAGATACATACACAAAGAAATAAGGAAAAACATTCGAAAAGGTAAAAACAAATGGCTGGAGACCAGTGTGCGGAAAAGCTGCAGTCGAAGAGATAAAGAATGGAAAAGCAGCAGCATCCAACTTTTTAAATTTATGGAAGAAGGGCAACTAAACTGACTCAAATATTCAACAATTCGACCACCAAATTACTCATGTTGGTTCCCTGTGAGCGTTGCAGAGACGTTAATTGTGTATGTTTTGTTGAAGGCTTTCGATAGGGTTAAGTATGACGAGCTGTTGAACATTCTTACGAGTACTGGAGTCGATGGAAAGTATCTCCGCATTGTATACAAACTCTACTGCAATCAGTCAACTACAAAAATAGATGAGGTAACAGAGAAAATTAGCATAGAGAGAGGCGTGCGTCAGAGGTGCGTACTCTAACCACTTCTAGTTAATGTTTACTCTCAATATAATAAACTAGAATATCGCGACAGGAAAACTTAAGGAAATAGTTTTTCTTAACTAACTACACAACTTTTAAGAATCACTGTAAATAAGCCCAGAATAGCTATGCAAACATTCGCAACGAATAGGCACCGGAAGAAGAAGTTTGAAAAAGTGCGTTTAGTCATTCTGAAATTTCGACTGTTCTACGAAAAACAATTTCATTTATATCAACTTTAAAAAGGTGTTAGCTATCTGTTATACAATTCTAGAAATTTAAACATAATTTTCAGCATTTTTTATTGGCCGCTTTAGTCAAAAGTTTTTTCGCCTCAGTTACTTCTCGAGAAAGGGCCAAGTGTTCGAACTGGCCACCTGGTACGTCAAATGAAAAGTCGGGCGTGTTCTTTCGCACTAAATAATACGTAAAAATCGCACAAAGCTCGACAACAATCTAATCTTGTACCCAATATATCAGAAGAACGGGTAATTGTAAGGTTGTAAAATAAAAAAAAATGCAAAGTCTGCTCGCAGTGAGCGAAAGTACACTACACACGCCATTGAGAAGTTACATAATTTACTCGGCGTATCGGACATCCACGTATAACTAGTTTCGTTGTGAAAATAAAATGTCTAAATATTGCAACATCAGTTTTGATTTAAAAATTAATGAACGGCTCCGAAGGTATTTATTTCTTTTACGAATTTCTCTTTGGGTTTTGCAATAATAAACGGTTCCACCATTTTACTATTTACCTCCGTTTAATCGCGCAAATTTACTTGCCAAATCGCCGACGAAGCCTTTTTGCAAAATTCATTTTGAAATAGGTCCGGCGACACTAACTTTTTAAGAGTCAATTAGGAAGTTCCCATATTTTTCAGATTTTATAATTATTAATAATATAGCTATCTTATTGATAACAATAAAAAAATCCCAATATAAAAGGACGAGCTTCAGTATCTATAAAAATTCAAATCAAAATTAAGGGGGAGATCCCTTGTTTAAAAGAAAGGGTAGTTTGTTATATAAACGTTGGGTCAAAAGCCAACCATTGCGGAGATATCGGACTATAAATATGGAAAAATAAGGATTTCATTTTTTTTCTTAAAAATGAATGCAATAGGAATAGCAATAGCAATAACTAAATTTAAGGAAAAACTTATGCATTGACAAGAAAAAATACATTTTTTATTTTATGATTTAATTAGAAACTTTTGTTTCCGTTTGTAATGTTCACAATGTAAAGCAAACCTAAATTAATTTAATAAAAAAATTTTTTTCGAAAATTTACTTTTTAACTTGGAAAAAAAATCGTACATCGAAATTTATTTTTTCAGTGTTATTGCGTAGGTTTTTCTTTTTTTTTTTCGTTAAAAAAATTAATTTAAAAAAAGTTTTAAAAAATTATGAAATATGCAAAGAGTGTATTTTTATAATAGCAATATTTAACCGTTCTACCTATATTCGTTTTTAAAATGAGAAATTAAAACATTATCTAGTTAAAAAAAATACTTAAAAAAACGTTTTAAAAAATTAAGAAATATGCAAAGAGTGTGTTTTTATAACAGCAATATTTAATCGTTCCATGTATATACGTTTTTAAAATGAAAAATAAAAACATGATTTTTAGCCATATTTGTAGCGAGATATCTCCATAATGCCATTCTAGAAACTTAAAAATAATATCCAGCATTCTATCTTGCAGTTTTAGTTACAATTTTTTTCGCCACCAGTTAGTTAACAGTGATGTATTCTAAAGGACATTGCCACGAACTTTATCAAGATAGTTGAACATTGGTTCAATAAGAATAAATTATACTATGATAGTATATTATGCAAGAAGTCTGGTAAACGGCATTTGAGTCACGAGTTTATTTGA